ATAAAATACTTTAAATTATTACTAATAAAGCATTTTGATATATTTCTTAAAATAATTCATTAATTGTACTGACACCATTATGGAGTCATAAAAGCACAGAATTGTGTTTAAATGTATTCTTCTATATTACTTTAATAAAATTTAAAAATATATTGTTGCTCAAAAGTCTATTTATCAATCCTAATACATATTGTTATTATGTCGTTTACACATTTGTATGTATTTATGTAGATATGCACTCATTACTTCATGTGAATCTCCGCTGACACATTTGCTTTATGTCAAAGAGTCAACTGTCGAAGAACTGACGCGACGACAAAGGTCACAACATTGTGTTGTTGGTAGAAAACTGAGATGCCATACAATAATTCCATGCATACATCGCATAAGGGCAAGTAAAGTCAATGTAAAAACTGAACGTACTTACATAAATTCTGACCAAATACAGTCAATCCGGTTAAGACTAAACTCAAGATGCAGATTTTTGTGCTTTGTAGTACATAAGCGGCCTTGATACTTAGCGAGTGGTACCAAAAATTATTCTATGTATTTAAAAATTACCGTTTTCTTAAAAATTAGAAAAAGTGAGATGCAGCAAGACCGGTCGATAGAGAACTGGTGGAGTGATACTTAACTCGGGTCTTGTATACTAACCTCAGAGGAATATTGAATATTTTCTTAAAAGTTCTTGATTGTAAATCGACAAATTTATCTATGTCACTTTATTACAAATATTTTAATACCATATTTGAGGGTTTGTCACCTTTTCCTTCTAAGAATATCAGACATTTGTTCATTTATGATTTTGCTTTTCCATCGTGCTGAAAAACCTGTTGGCAAACGATGCTCGGGAGATGTGTAGGCGTTTGCTTTTTGACAAAAACGACTTAGCTTATTGATTGGTGGCAGGCGTTCATGAATGAAAATGTTGATTTGGTGTGATTTATACAAATTTAGGATTTGTCAATTATTGCTATATTGATTTCTATGTGCTAATGCTATTTAGAAACTTTGTTTTTGCAACAAGGTGTTTTGTATTGCCTATTATTCGTGTACTTCCATTTGCGCTAATGTATGTAGATTTGTGTATGCATTACTATTTTGCGTCGGTCATACGCATATTTGTATTATTACATACTTACGTATAGACAGGTGCGCTCACATGTTTCATTGATATTGTTAATATATTAATACAATTATATTATATAATATACATTGTGACTGTACTATATGTACATATATAAATTATTAATTTTGTAACAAATCTGAAAGTGAAATTATGAAAATAGTAAAATATCATCTTTCTTGCAAATCTTAATTTTATCAATGTAGCATTTGTGCAAAAATCATATTTTATCAGTTTTCATCATAAAATCGTTTATATGGAAATTAATCATGCATATTGTGGCATTTTGTTTCTCATTCATTCGGCTTCATTTTCTCTTATATTGGAGATACGTAATTTGTCAGAGAACGTTGTTAATAAAATCTCATTCTGTTAAATAAATAGCAAATATTACAGAAAATGGTGAACTCTTGATCTCAAATTTCAGCCAACCAATCGAGCATCATACAAAGATTTAATTTGCACCTTCTCGTTCTTTTACGTTCTCTGATGTAACATGCTTACACTCTTGTTCATTACATTATCGCCAGTTAACTAGTAATTCTTCGACCAAAGCTAAATGTCTTGTCGTAATCTTGACGCCTGATGTGACATCGAATGCCTAGCTACATCAAAGGAATATTTCTGAACAATACTTTGTGTATCAAATGCTTTCTTAATTTCAACTAACATTCTATGTTATTTATTTGCTCACAGGTGTCATGTTTGGCACGAAACGAATTGCATTGATATGTATTATTTTTATGGAGAAAGGAGACATATTTGATAGTAATACTTTTAAAATTTTTGAAAGGAAGGGTAGGAGAATTATTGTCTATAAGAAGACGCCCGTATTAAATTTACCGGGCTTATCTTATCATGATGACGTTCCCATGATGGATAATATTCGAAAACAGAAAATTGCATTAATAAGAAGGAGAGCGTCGTACTACAATATTTGGTAGCTCCATTAGCATTTTGGAGAATTTATCTGTCCTGATGACTTTTGGATTCATCTCTTTATAATATTCTTAATTTAAAATT